TAGATAGATAGATAGATAGATAGATAGATAGATAGATAGTTGATGATGGATGAATAAACTACTGCATTAACTAATGTTAATGTATACAGCCTTGCTGTAAAGTGTGACTGAAAACGGTTGTTCGGAGGATTGCAAATATCTGTAAAAGCTCATAATAATTGAATGAGCATGACTTAAAGGGATGTAGATAGATAGATGATGGATAGACAGACAGAGATAGATAGATAGATAGATAGATAGATAGATAGATAGATAGACAGACAGACAGATAGATAGATAGATGATGGATAGACAGACAGAGATAGATAGATAGATAGATAGATAGATAGATAGATAGGTAGATAGATAGATAGATAGACAGACAGCGATAGATAGATAGATAGATAGAAATATAGATAGATGATGGATAGATAGATAGATAGATAGATAGATAGATAGATAGATAGATAGATAGATAGATAGATAATGGATAGATAGACAGATTGATAGTTAGATAGATAGATAGATAGATAGATAGATAGATGATGGACAGACAGATAGATAGATAGATAGATAGATAGATAGATAATGGATAGATAGATAGATAGATGATGGATAGATGATGGATAGACAGACAGAGATAGATAGATAGATAGATAGATAGAAATATAGATAGATGATGGATAGATAGATAGGTAATGGATAGATAGATAGATAGATAGATAGATGATGGATAGATAGATAGATAGATAGATAGGTAATGGATAGATAGATAGATACACAGATAGATAGATAGAAATATAGATAGATGATGGATAGATAGATAGATAGATAGATAGATAGATAGATAGATGATGGACAGACAGAGATAGATAGATAGATAGATAGATAGATAGATGATGGACAGACAGAGATAGATAGATAGATAGATAGATAGATAGATGACTTAAAGGGATGTAGCGCACCGTCAGCAGTGCAGCATATGGAGAGACAACAAGATGGCTCACGAGGACCAGAGTCTCGCCGCTCGCGCATGCGCACTGTCCTCTTCCAACTCGAGAAATCACTTATTAAGCATGCTAAGGTGCCCCACAAGTTCTTCGTAACCCGCATCTTAAACACAGTGATTAAACTCGAGAACATTAATTTAATGAGTCGCCATAGCTGTACGCCGCGAGCCAGAATGGATCCCACTACGGCGAAGGACGACCTCATGAATATTAATGAGCGTTGCCTGGTAACCTTCCTGGAGCGTCACCTTATTAATATTCAAGAGCCGATCCTTCGCCATAGTGCGGTCGGTGAACGCGGCAGCGGTGCAGAACCCACTGCTGCTAGCTCAACTAGCGCGCTTCCGGTGTATTTCCGCCTGCCCGAAGCCCCGAAGCCCCGAAGCCCGCTGTGCTGATGCTGCTTCCCCGCTTCTGCGTCTGGACTGATCCGCGGGAGCTTCGTGGAGCTCTGGTCTGAGGGATGTCCGCTGACGCGCGCTGACACATGCGCAGCGCTGCGATAACCGCCCGCGAGCCCGAGGAAGCACACGTTAATCGGTGGGCCGGTGAAGTTTTCGCGGAAGCATTGATGTTGTCGACAGGTAAGCATGCACGGGATGACACGGGTCACATAACGGGGCTTAGGCGACTTCTTTTGCTTGAATATTCATATTAATGGGCATGGTTTACTTCTAAGGGGATCTATGAAACGCATATCTGTGGATTGTGTCACACACAGTCAACCGATAAACGATCAATAGACTCCGTAGGAGAGCAGTCGCGCGCCTCTGCTGATAATAAACACGCGAGATCATGTGTGGAAACAAACGCAGGGATGTTTCCTCCTCTTGTGCGCCCTGTAGCGCGCGGATAGTCACTCTCCGTGTATTGGGATTGGTTTATTTGGGCAGCGCGCGCTGATGCTTCCCTTACAGTGGTGTAGTGATGGGAATGTATTTAAACATATTGTAGGGCACTGAGTGATTACTGTATGTGTATATCATTGCATTCACGTGACAACGCAAATAATACCATGGTGCATGTGCAAAAGACGTGGTGTTATAAAGAGACATGTCCAAAAACAGTGTGTTTGTGTACTGACATGGTGACTCACATTTATTATTCAATTTGTTTGGGAATCTCTTACATAAAGTACAGCATCAGATGCTCCTGACATGGTCCGTAAGATCAGCACACCAAGAAATGAAACCGATACCTGACAAAGTGGACAAGGAATAGCTTGCTGTTACAATGGCACAATGGCAGAAACATGGGAATTTGAGGGTAGTTGTGTGTACAGTGACGCCTGTCTAATGTTGATTCCTCACAAGCATACATTGAAAGGGCAGCAGCTTTATTTCGAAGGTCAGCGAGGCTGTGTTTTATTATCGGTCAGCCAACAGAGTAGTTGACGAATCAGAGACACTTAATATGTGCCAGTGTAATGCAGATTCAGCCCTGTGACAACATTTCCGTGCCCTTTGCGGTTTGTTGTAGTGGATTGTATTTGTTGCTAGTCGTTTCTGTTTCGCATCCTAACATATTACACTGAATGCAGAGGATGTGTTTCATTGTGTTTTGCGTGCGCACACTAGATCAGGTGTGGTTAACCCGTGTGTTTGCTTTGAGGTCGAGCTGTGTTATCTCTCAGAGCGTCACAGTTCATCATTCTGGTCATAATGTAGTCACATAGGTTTACTATTTTAAGTCAGTCGTTCTCACTTGTCCATCACGTGGTGACTCGGCACAGTAAAAGAACAGCTTTCACCCTGTGCTTAGCAGCATAGTTTCTTGTTAGTATGATATGTTGACTTAAAGAGATCATTACCCAAATAAGCTAGAGTGCGAATGTGCTCAAGTATTCTGTAGGAGAAAACCCGCGATGGAATCAGACATCTGACAATAAAGCGAAACAACAGAGAACTAAAATACCCAAGTAGTCCTCGGACTCCATGCTTGATATTTACAGTAAAAATCTGGCATTCATTTGATCTGGAGCGATTAATTAGCAGAAGTAATTACTCCACCACATGTGTGGCGTCATTGTAATGGTTGAACCAATGTGTTTTGAATGATAGATGTGCAACAAAGTTTCGGAAACTGTCGTGACTAGCTAGTTTCTCCGATGACGCGTCATGCTGTGATAGTTCAGCCGCTAGTTACAGTAGTGTAAGGGAAACACACCCCATGTTTTGTTTGGTAACAAATTAGAATTTTTAACAAAGTACTGGAATCAGACATCTGACAATAAAGCGAAACAACAGAGAACTAAAATACCCAAGTAGTCCTCGGACTCCATGCTTGATATTTACAGTAAAAATCTGGCATTCATTTGATCTGGAGCGATTAATTAGCAGAAGTAATTACTCCACCACATGTGTGGCGTCATTGTAATGGTTGAACCAATGTGTTTTGAATGATAGATGTGCAACAAAGTTTCGGAAACTGTCGTGACTAGCTAGTTTCTCCGATGACGCGTCATGCTGTGATAGTTCAGCCGCTAGTTACAGTAGTGTAAGGGAAACGCACCCCATGTTTGGTAACAAATTGGAATTTTTAACAAAGTACTTCATATGTGACCCTGGAGCACAAAAGCAGTGTTAAGTCGCTGGGGTATATTTGTAGCTATAGCCAAAAATACATTGTATGGGTCAAAATTATTGAATATTAAAATCATGTTCCATGAAGATATTTTGTACATTTCCTACCGTAAATATATAAAAACTTAATGTTTGATTAGTAATATGCATTGCTAAGAACTTCATTTGGACAATTTTAAAGATGATTTTCTCAATATTTAGATTTTTTGCTCCCTCCCTCAGATTCCAGATTTTCAAATAGTTGTATCTCAGCCAAATATTGTCCTATCCTAACAAACCATACATCAATGGAAAGCTTGTTTATTCAGCTGTAAATTTCAAAAAATTGACCCTTATGACTGGTTTTGTGCTCCAGGGTCACACATATATCATTTTTGTACATTTAGCTAATTATTCCTTTATGAACAACAAGTCACAGTACCAATTTTGCCCAATGCATTAAAAAGAACGGCCACTTTATTCATTTATGAATCAGACTGCTCTAGTTGCGCAGCATGTTTGGGGCTGCATGCAACCAGCGAGGTAGGTGCGCAAGCGAGATATGTAGTCTATTTATTCTCTTTGTGTTGCCTTCTTTCCGCATGTCTTTTGTCTGGGGATCACTGCTAAACGCATTTGTCATCAGACATTTCTATGCAGCCCGATATACTCGGTTCCTGGTACCACAGAGCAGCAAACTTTTAGCGCTAACAAGAACTGGTTTTTCCAGCCCATAGCTGCCATTCCTGTGGTGGAAATGCTCAGAACGGTTCGAGAACGGCCCAGCAAGCATGCGGGTGGAAAAGGGTCCCCTGACGCTGAGGAGGTCAGTGATGAGCTCTTAATGAGAGTTCTGCAGCAGAAGCGTGTCTCGGGACGCGTCTGTCACAAGCTGCCTGCCACCCAGCATTCTGTCTGCCATCGACACCCACAGCAGAAAGGTTCTGTCACGCCTCACAGCCCATTAAACATAGTTCACACAAAAATGAAGCTCGTCCACATTTTACCTCGTGGCCCTGTTTACACCTGGTATTAAGATGTGTTTTCAGTAGGGCTGCACCCTTAATAGTCGACTAAACGTTCGTTTCATCTAGATCCTTCCCTCTTATTTCATCACACTCTATATCACTTTCATAGGTAGGTGGATGAATGAATAAAGCAACAATATAAGACATATATTCTATGACAAGATATCTCAGAAACCTGGCGGAGGACTCCTAGTCAGCACTTTCATGGGCTAGTGGATAGTTTTCCATATTTTCATATATTCAAAATGGCATTTGCACATTCCGTGCACTGACTTCATTTTAAATGTAATTTACATTAGTTATGTCTAGAGCTAATTGTCTTAACATTTGGAGTGTTCCCAGTTGATCTTTTCGTTTCAGTAAGCGTCGTACGAGTGTAATTTCAGCCGTCACAGCAATGCTAGCTTAAGCGTAACTCGCATGTGATCCTAGAGATTAGACTTATTTATGATTTGATTGGTGGGATGTTTTGAAGATTGTGAAGGGTTTTGACATTTTTTTGAAGGATTTTTCTAATTGCAAACTGCTTTTGCATTTTTAACATGCAATAAATGCAACCGTCCAAAATTGAAAATTCAGTCATTATCTACTCATCCAGAATGAAAGAAAAAAATCTGAGAGAGACTGTTTCTTTTTAGGAATTCTGGTTGTTCTTCCATTGAAATAAAAGAAAGGCTTTATCTGTAAAGCTCTGAAATGACAACAAATCAGCAGAAAATGCACATCAGAGTGGTCCATGTGTCTAATTCTCATGGGCTAGTGGATAGTTTTCCATATTTTCATATATTCAAAATGGCATTTGCACATTCCGTGCACTGACTTCATTTTAAATGTAATTTACATTAGTTATGTCTAGAGCTAATTGTCTTAACATTTGGAGTGTTCCCAGTTGATCTTTTCGTTTCAGTAAGCGTCGTACGAGTGTAATTTCAGCCGTCACAGCAATGCTAGCTTAAGCGTAACTCGCATGTGATCCTAGAGATTAGACTTATTTATGATTTGATTGGTGGGATGTTTTGAAGATTGTGAAGGGTTTTGACATTTTTTTGAAGGATTTTTCTAATTGCAAACTGCTTTTGCATTTTTAACATGCAATAAATGCAACCATCCAAAATTGAAAATTCAGTCATTATCTACTCATCCAGAATGAAAGAAAAAAATCTGAGAGAGACTGTTTCTTTTTAGGAATTCTGGTTGTTCTTCCATTGAAATAAAAGAAAGGCTTTATCTGTAAAGCTCTGAAATTACAACAAATCAGCAGAAAATGCACATCAGAGTGGTCCATGTGTCTAATTACTGTCTTCTGAAGTCATTTGATCAGTCATTCAGAGTGGATTTGACACAGCATGCGAATAAGTACATCATGACAGATCTGTTTGTTTTCTGTAGTAACACCCATTGCTGTGATAGTGTAGAGAAAGTCTGCTTTTCCTGGTGCTGTCAGTAAAGAAATCAACTGCTCCAGTGTGTGCAGAGAGAAGAGGAGATATCCATATATCGATATTTTCTTTATAAGCGATTCTATATGAGGCGATACCATTTATATGGATATACAGTAGTTTGATATGAGCGCATCTGAAAATATAGCGGAGGACACAGACTGAGCTGCTGCGGAGAAAGTGCATCATCCAGTTTATTCCAAACATGTGACGAGCTTCATGAGTCCTTTAAAAACTGGTAAAACATAGTTTATAGTTTGGTTTGGTATATTAGTTTAAGTGGCTCGGCCCTTCCTATGCTCTGATAGAAAGGCTGCGTGTGCCACTGACAGAGACATTAGGCTACTCGCGCCGTTTAATGTGTTTGAGATGTGCGGTCTTCCTGAATGCATAACTTACATTTCACAGGTATATTCCATCTGTAAATGTTAGAATGCCTTTTCTGTCAGAAGTGCATGAGCCTTCTGCTTTGGGATTCTCCGCTAAACTTCACAGACTTCAGTGAATGAGCGCCAAACAGACAGAGCTCAATTAAATATCAGCGCAATAATTCTGA